AGCGTTTCCCAGCACCTTTACACATTTCTGACGCTCGGGCAGCCTGCCAGCGCCAGGGAGTCTGGTGCTGGCTTGAGTCTCACTGGAGTTACAGAGGGGCAGGTGGAAGAAAGGAAGGCTGCAAGCCCCTGAGTTACTAGGTAAGGTCACTGTAGGGGGTCTCGTTCAACAAGTTCTACAAGAAGAAGTTCTACAAGAATACGAAGTCATCGACAAGCCTTAGGTGAACATCAGCCAGCTGTTGCCTCATCCCCCTGATTTCCCTGTCAGACACCGCCTCTAGTGGCAGGCAAAACTCATCCAGCTCTGAATCGGCATTTCAACTCCTGCAGTTAAGTCTGATGGGTTAAAATCGGTGTCTACCATCATATATAAAAACCACGGTGGCACTGTCTTTCTGCACTGTTGACCTCCTCCCGATGCTGATGTGAGAAAGCCAGAGGAAGTTCCTGAACATATGGGTCAGTTTCAAGTAGCAAGAAAAAGACAGTTTTACATTTGTCAGCCCAGCAGTAGACTTAAGAATTGCCAGATCGCAATACCGTGTTAATTATCTGTTAGTTTGCGGTGTCAGCGAATTTTTTCCTTTAAAAAAAAAAAAGGAGAGAGAGAGATACTCATTCACAGATGGCAAGTCCATGCAGGATGGCATAAGTGTTCGTTAAGGGCGCCTGCCTACCAGCCCGGCCCAAACTGGAGGTTTCCCAAATTCAAAGCACAGCTCACAACCTGTTACCAGTCAGCTTAGTGTAACTGCCAGCATCCCTACTGAAGTGGCACAAATATCTTGCCATAGACAATAAACCACATTCCACAAATGCTTTCTAATTAAGAATGAAATGCCCCCTCTCCTGCTCCCTTCTCTGCGTACCACTCTGTTCCTATAACAGTAATGAATGCTGTTGGAGTGAAGATTTCTGTGCACAGTTTGAGCTGGCAGCACTAGAGTAAACGGTCATAGCGCTGATGGTCTCTGTGCTGACCACACAGCAAGCCTCTCAAGAGAACCATCGTGCAGGACCTGCCTGCCTGTGGGTTTCAATCTTTGGAAGCAAGAGACAGAACGTTCCCCCCACAACCTCTGTCATTTTATTTGAAAGAATAAGAATTTCTAAAAGGAAATAAACAGAAGTTTTCTAAGTAAGTTGCTCACAAGTAGTAGGGGAAAAAAAAAAATGAAAATACTAGAGTTGACCACAGAGATGACAGGCTAGTTCAACAGCATCAAAACTGAGATTTTATTCCAGCTCTGCTGGGAGGAAGCTCAAAAATGGGAAATTTGCATGGTACAATGGACAAAGTTTGGCCAAGTGGAGTCCTCAAGCTAGTGAGAACAGAGCTGCTTCTGGAGCCTTCCTGGCAGTGGTGGTGGGCTACAGGAGGAACAAATCTAATTCCCAGCAGGTCTTTGGGAAGACCAGAATCAGCAGGAGGTTATCCTGGGCAGTGCTGTATGTTGGAGCTAAAAAGAGACTGCAGCCATGCATGTCTTTTCCCTAGCCTCTCATACTACTCGGTATCAGCAAGGTGTATGTCAAAACAGCCTGCCAAAAGCGTTTGAAGCATCCAGCTTAGCTCTCCGAGAAGTTTCTGCATCTCAGCCTGACAAGTGACATCCAGACCTATCCCTGTATTTATCCTGTGATTTTATTACAGCTATGTGGAGAAAATACCTTACCTCAGAGAAGTTGATGTAGTTGAGTATGAACTGCAAGGGGGAAGAGAGGGATTCAAAGAAAAGCAGGCCTAACTACAGCCTTTTCTGTAATGATCCCTCCCTTCTCTTGGAGAAGCAAGTGAGAATTAGAAGGTCACAGGTGAAACCGGCCCTGTAATCACTACATTGGAGCACATGGAGCATAAACATTCGTTCACCAGAAGAAATGGCCAAGCAGGAGTTAAGTGAGCAGCGTACATGCAGTAAGTCAAGAGAACAAGAACAGTCACAAAAGCCAAGAACAAACACAGGTGAAAGTAAAGAACTGGCACTGCTGCCTGGAGTGCTGACAGCACCAGGGCCACACCACGGATAAGAGCATACCACAAATGCAAAGCAGCAACTGTGTGTTACAACTCAGTCTGACTCTGAGCTTTCTTTGTAAAAACAAAAAGGGCTGCAGGGATCACGCGGCGTTAGCACCAGTCAAGAACCAGGGAAACAAGATGAGGACCTGATGGCTAGCAGTTCTTGTTCTCCATGCCACCACAAGTCATCCTGGTATCTGTGAGAAAATGAAACCAGTTCTGTTTAAAACAGAGAGCACCTTCCCCTTCTGTATTCATACACTCCCCTTCTGTGCTCATACAATGAGCTTGTTGTCACAATAAATGCAGCAACAGTGGAAGGAAGAAAACAAAGTTTTAATTAAATTATATAAACAATATCAGTACAGCACATAGAAGTTACTCAAATTCCATTAAGTCTCGAGGTAAGAGCCATCAAGTTTGCAAAGACGAGTACTAACCTTTCAGGAAAAAATAGCAGTAACTCGTGATAAAAAGGTGGCAAGGGCAGAACTGTCTCAACACAAGAGAGAAGGCATTTAGATTGTTTCAGTCTGCACAAGTGGACAACCCAGACCGTTGCACAGGCATGCACGTTGCAGGCTCAAGACAAACCATCCTCGATTCTTGTGGTTCTGAACAGAAGCCAAGTAGGTTGCAGCAGCTGTGTATTTAATGAACTGATGTGATAAAAAGACAGATTGTCAAAGCTGAAGCATGATTAGTATGACATAAAGCTTACAAGGTAAGAAAGTCACAAATGAAACAGTATTTAGACGATTATTGCATATGATTGCATATTAAGTTACAGTCACCAGAAGTCCCAAATATTCCTTCCACAGTTCTGACCAAAGTCACAAAAGTTGAATCAAACTATCCAAAAGCCTGAGATTAAGAAAAAATAATGTGCTGATCCTTCTTCTAATCTTATCTTCCTCTGTGATTTGCGTACACTTTTATCTATGCACAACACCACCACTGAACGAAAAACAACTTTAGCCCAACACAGGCAGCTTCATTCTTGAACTGAGCTGAAAACCAGACTTCCTGCACATCCCCACAGTATGGAACAGCCCCCAGCCGTACAGGCAGGGCACAGTATGCCGAATGAATTGCGGTGCGGGAGCTGGAAGGGAACAGCTCCTAAACTTACATGATGTAGAAGCATTGCTATTTTAGAGCATCTGCTGTGGTAAAGACATGACTCAAAGCATACAAGACAGTAGCGTTGGTCACAAAATGCCCCCTCTCTCCAACCCACTCTTACAGAGCACAGGAAATATGCTCTGTACACTCAAACACCGGCTGCCCACCTAACTCATTACCTGCTCTACAACTTCTGCAACAGGAGCTTAGAGGATTGCTACTTGTTCTGCTGCAAAAGGTTTCCTTCAGGGAAGGGTATCGTCTAGGCACACACAGCATTTGACAAGGGAATGGTGTTACTCTCAAAGCAGAGCTGATAGAACACTTAAAATTGTCACTGCCAGCCCAACTCTATTTGTTATACCCAACAGTTAAGACACTCACTGAAAAATGCAGTAGCTGTTTTAGAGGCTGAAGGTTTCCAGGCTTTGAAGTCCAGTCAGAATGCCGCCCTAGTAAGTTCAATGCAAAAAAGTTTACAGTACTCCTAGATCTCTCTTCCCTATTCAGACAAACATATTTTTCTACATATGCCTGTGAAAACTAGGACTGCAGTTCTCTTAATCCCCCAGCCTGCATTCAGGATGATGATGTCTGATTACGCAGACAGTAGAAACTGCTGTAACTAATGTCTGTACATTAATGTCTGTCATGTAACATTTTCTCTACACTGTCAATTAGATTGTAGTACGAAATTTAACTTTCAACTGCCAACAACCAATACAGGACACATCAGTGTACCGGGAGACCAGTAACTGTTCTCCCTTACTAGGCCAGCATATTTCACATCGACTCATGGTAGGAGTAAAATCTAACACAGGAGCAAGCAGATGGTTGCTCTTCCTCTATAAGCTTTGAAGTCTTCTACTAACACACCACACACATTAGAAAACAGAAAGCTGAAAACGGTTCGAAGTCAGAAAGATGACAACCCAGCTATCCCTGAGATCACTGCACAACAGGGGTGGGCATGCTGTTAAGCTGCACCAACAGCACCTACTGGCTTGTTTCTCTCCACTTCAGAAGTCTGCCCCCCCCCCAGCCACTCTGCAACACAGCCATCCTGGACACGGGGCCTCAGAGCTAAGCCCAGTATCTGCACCATGAACTGTTCGACAGTCACAGGGTGACAGGATGGCTAGTACAGTTTTCCCAGCTGGATCTCCCTCCATGTCTTACTGCAAGCTTGAGGCTGTGAAGGAAACAGTATTTAATGCTCTGGGAGAATTTTCACTGGAAAACCGGAGTCTGACAAAAAACCCCAACACTTGACACTCAATCTGTGCATCGTATTGTTTTCAATATAGTGGCTGCGTCCTTGGAAAGTCTTACCGTGCGACTGCTGAGAAAGCACATGAAAACTCATTTGGTAAGACACTGCCATACTAGCTGGAAGAAAAAGAAGCATCCTGCCCTTCCTTTATTATGATACAGTTTTTCCAGCATTTATTATAGGACTGGCAGACAATCATATGCACATCCAAAGCTCCAGGTGAGAAGGGTGTTATTGGTAGTTTTTCTCCTTAGGGTGTGCATCTGTACAGGACAGCATGTGACTCAGCATAAAGGTTCTGCAAAACTAGCCTGCATAAATCTGTAGCCAGCAAGCAGTTTTGACAGTTACTACCTCAAAGCACAAGTCAAAGTAACAAGACAGCAAACCAGAGAAAGGAATCTTTGTGTTTCACTTAAAAATGCTTTTATTATAAAAAAGAAGCAGGCTTAATGAAACATTTCTTTCAGTGAGGAAATATTAAATTCACATTTTACATACGAAAATATTACAAAATAACCATCCAGTGACTATTACAGCGTTTTTTCAATGCTTGGGACTTGGGCCATTTTCACTTATTTTCATCCACCATCCACAGCAATCAAAAAACCAATTTTTTTGGCAATCCTGAAAAGTGTAAATCATATTGTTACCACATTAAAAGGGTCCAGCCACCTGCTCAAGGTTTTAGCATTCATTTGATACCGCTCTTGAGATACATCTACTCTGAGCTGCTTAATGCTGTTTCCTGCAGCGAAAGTACGCGATGACATTTCCCAATGAATCTATGAAGACTGCTAGAATTGAAACTCACGTGAATAAGTACATGTGCTCCAAATGGGTCCCAAATTCTGTAATTAAGTGTTGATTGCATTGGTGATACATGTTAGTATTTCTTTTTGTTGGTGTAAAAATCTAGGCAGTTAATTCTACTTTTGAACCTAAGAAAGGGAAGCTACCCTAAGGCTTAACACTGCCCCAACACACATACGCTCTTAATGATTTTTCTTACATGCTGTCACTACCCAGCAATAAGCTGTCTGCAAGAAATCACAGTCCTTTTAGTTTCTGCCTCATTCTTTAACCACATCTTTGTTTAGTATCAGCCGCAGAGATGATGAAAGCAGCCGTGCTTTTCTGATTCTATTCTAGATCTTGTCCTCTCATTTCTTCACATGCTACTTAATTACAACATAGGTGGAATAAACCATAGCTGCCTTCGGGATGGATATGAAGCTTACTACGAAAGGATCCAACTGTTTTTGCCTGCCCTATAGGCAGAGTTCTTTAAAATACACTGACATTGAATCACAGCCATGAACTTTAAATGACTGCCCAAACAATACAAATTCTTAACCTTAGCTACCAGTAGAGTGGTTTGTGGGTTTTTTTTCCAAACCAATGTAGAATAGTTCTGAAATTAGATAGATGCCTTATACTGCGTTACCTCAGGACAAAGTTTAGTGCTGTATCTTTTAGACTCTCTGTTTTGCAAACCTACATCTCCATAGAAATGTAGATTAATACGACTAGAAATTGGTGTCCTGGGGAAGGAGAGCTGCTTTTGATTAAGTGTTTGCCTGAGTGGAGAAGATGGACAATGATGTCATCGCAGCATCAGTGTCTCCACATACCTCACCGACCAGAAATAACCGGTAGCAATAGCTAAAAACGCTGCATGCTTAATACTTTTCACAGGCAGTCATCCATCTAGTGATAGTTTTCCCCGACAACAATGCAGCTGTTTTTTGAGAAGTACAGCTGCTGCACATTTAAGTCTGGTGAACACGCACCACATGCTACAGTGTTTTGCTCTTGTGCAAAAGCAGCACTTATGAGGATGGCATAAATTCTTTCTCCTGGCAGCCAGTCCCCAGTGCCAACATTTTATAAGAGGGCACCCGTCAGTAGTCACTCAGTCCATGCTGCTAAGCACCAGACTGCTATCTCCACAGGGCTAAGGGAAAGAGAATGTACTGTGCAGGATGCAAGCACAGGCCAGCCTAAGAATTTCAGGGGATGCAACTTATTTTTCTTTGAAATGATTTTCACACATTTCCACACTCAATAGCAATAAAAATATGCTGTGCTTCGTATTTTATTTAAACAAAGACTGCAGGATTGTTCTTCCCAACCAATGTCCACATTTTAACTTTAGATGGTAACACCACGTAAGAATGTCAAATGAAATCCAGGGTAGCAGATTTGCTAGCTCTAACACTGGCACTTTCCTTCAATTTTCGTTGGCACTACAAGATCTACCTTTGAGACCCTCTGGTTCCGCCAGCCCAGCTAAGGCAGTAACAGAACCTAACGGAAAATCTGCATCAGAAAATGCATTATGTTTCCATTTCCACTTAATGGAAATGATACTGCTTTTTATACTGGTCCTCAAATGTCTCAAAACGTAATGCTGACTTCCTAAATGCCTTAGTTATAGCCAATCTCAAAAGTCCTGGCATTTAACACACAAGTCTGATTTCCTCCCGCTGAAGATGAGACTTTCGGACAGACATTAAAGGAATTAGTGCTGTAGCTTGATACAGCTCTGGAAACTCTGCTCACTGTCAAATGCAAGACTTCAAATGGTTAAGTTACAGAACTCACGGAAGCATTTCTTCCTTTTTCCTGTCCTTCAGTTAACTGGCATATTTTAGGGCACGTACTCCAAAACACTAATCACAGACCCTTACATGGTCCTCACAAAAGGAGCTAAAAAGCTTAAATTAATTACCTGATCTATGGTAACTTGACAAGTTCCCACATGTCAGCTGACCCACGGCACTGGGGTCAGCAAAGAGCATGCAACAGTCAACTAATTAAATTTTCCTTTGAGATTGGAATCTTAAGCTAGTGAACTCATGCAATTTAGTTTTACACAGACTAAGAAACAACAAGTTAAAGTGCCTAAAAAGGAAGTTAAAACTCTAATAATGCAGCTGTCTCTCTGAATTCAAGAGGAAATGCACTTTCATGGAAGCATCTCCATTCAAAAAAGACATCACTCGTATCAAATCTGACAGCCGCTATCTAGTGTATTCCAGCTGTTAAGAAGACCGACTCCAAGTTTAAGAACCTGTATTTGCCCCTCTTGTAGAAGGTCTGAGTAATTTAGTGTCAGATACAGGTCTTGAGTCCTCAGAGCTTTTCTTGCCATGAAGATACGAAGTACATGCTACTGTTTGGGGAAGACTGGAGGCCCCATACAGAAGTAAGCATCAGGGAATAGGTTTGCCTTTTAAAAGGGTCACAGAAATGTGCTTAATGTTCCTTAACCAGAGCAGTCTTAACAGTTAACTTCCTTAGTCTAAGAGAGAGCAGAAATCTTTCTTCTAAATCCAATTTACATTCTCCAGCCTGCCATTTGAAAGAACAACATGCTATGTTTCCCTCTCCCCACCACCCCTATTTTGTTTTCAGTGACGTACAGTTATTTCCACCTTAAAAAAAAAAAAAAAAAAAAAAAGGGCATCATAATAGCCTATAATTTACTGGATAGTACCACACTCCATTACAGAAATTAATGGAATTAGGTATTTCTTTTAACAAACAAATTCCTAAGCGTCATGAAAGAGCCTTTTTTGTACCAGTTCTGCGAGAACACAGAACTAAGTCATTCTCACTCTAAAGCATTTATCCTAAAACATAAATCTTTAAAGGGCTTCAGTTGATGCTGGCGCTCAGGGATGCAATCAATTCAGAGTTTTTGTTCTTAAACTGGAAATATCATATTCTCTCTGAGCATGTAGCTCCTATTTTAGAACAGGTGAAACATTAAGAGGTTACCTTGATCTATTCCTTCTGTTTTTTTCCTTTTTAAATTTAAAAGTGCATTTTGTTGCTCCTTTACAGCTTCTGCAGGACAGTTGGGTCTTGGCAGCTGATGTCCTGGAGTGGGTCCTGGTCGGTTACTGAAATACTTCTGCTTCAATGCCTTAATGACAATGGAAGAAAAATAACCACATAATTAGTATAAAGTGTCAGAACACCACCTATAAAGAGGTTATAATGAAATAAAGCACTTGCAATTCAGACTTCAAAACTACTTGGACACTTTTATACTAGAAGGTGGCCTTGGGGCAAATCAAGATTTTGTGTTCTCAGTGACTACCCAGAGCACTTTGATTTGTTAGCCAACAGATAATTGCGAACTCTTATTTTTAACTAGTGCTCAGACATCCTAAAAAAACTCACTACACTGCAGGAGGTCTTGTACAAACAGCAAGTTGCTAGCTCTGAAGAGCTTACATTCTGAATAGACAGATGAGACAAGAGGATAAAGAGGGAAGCAGGAATAAAGAAAGATTAAAAGAATATATCCAAAGTCTGGATCAGATCCAGGACCTGGACAGCAGCTGTTCTGCTAACTTTTACGATAGGGCTTTCCCCCAAAAATTCTTTAACTGTGCTGTTTCTACACTGTGAACTGTGAGAAAAACATAGTTTGTATTAGAGCAGAAGACAAACACAAGTGAGCAGGGTTAACTTCATGTAGTGGAATTACATACCCTGTTCTAAATTTTAGGAATTCCACAGCTTCCATAACTTGTGGTTACGAAAAAGAGGCTAAGCTGTCTCTTACGCAATTGTTACTCTTGCTAATACCAGTTACATGGTATTCAATGCCAGCTGTAAGTCATGCCAACACAGTAAGCACAAGTTGTTTCCTGCCTTGAACTGTGGCATTGTCAGTAAGAATGCTAGACTAAAAAAATCATATATATTCAATATTCAAGTCACCATCCTACAGTATGCCCTATAAAATGGCTTCTTACTTATCAAGTAGTACAGAGGTGCCCCAAGCATAGCAGAACTAGTTGTTTGGAAACTTATTATTGAAAGTTCTTAAAGATGGTGACCAAAAAAACCTGAATGTGCTCTGAAAAAGTCTTATAGTAAAAAGACATGTAACACATGCACTAATCCCTTGGATTAGGATCTGCCTTGTCTAACAAGCGATGAGGGAGTCCTGGCCTTAAGAGGACAGCTGTTTCTTACACGCTTCCCTAACAGTGTAAGGCGACAGAAATACAGTTCTGAAAGTGCCAACTGCTGTATCTTCCTCGTAGCAGAAATCAGTATTCTGAACTAGAACATTCTGCAGGATTTTCATTCAAAGTCCTTAATTTCTCCCCATCAAAGAGTAGAGAAACTGAAATCAGCTTCATCCAAGTATAATGGAAAAGGATATTCAGATCAGAATTTCATGTTAGAAAAGAATCAAAAAAGTTTAAAGAAGAGAATGGAGAAAGTAAGGATGAATTTTTTTCAAACACAGAGAAGAAGATATGCTATGTTAAAACTTAAGTTTCAAGCTTCGGGTGACTGAATTTTGGATGTCAGACATAACGACTGTCTGAAGGCCCTGACTCATAGACCTTTTAGTTGTCTACCCTTCGCTCTACGTTGGGAATGGAGATGATCAGTCAGCACTATTCATGCCTTTCAGAGTTCTCTCTATAAAACACTGGAAATACATTTCTAGTATTTCATAGACAGAGCTATATGACATTTCATTTCAAATGTAGCTTACTGGTGTCAAAGCACATTTATGTGATAGTAACAAGAGGTTAATGAACATTAGGAAATACTGCAAGTGTACCATACCTGAGTAGCCGTAACCCTAGTGCAAGGATTAAATGTGAATAAGCCTTGCAGAAGACCGAGCAAATCATCACCAGCTGCACTGAAGATATGTTGCAGTGGCATTCCAGGGAAAGACTTAAATGTGACATAATCTGGAAGACTCGTCATCCCCTACAAAGACCAAAAATGGAATGTATGTTTTTCAAGTTAGAAACAGTTCGGCTTTTCACAGAAAGTGAACTTCATCTGGCCGTCTTTCAGCAAAAGTAAATTACCTTTCAAAACACCTTGCTAATACTTGGTCACTGAAATAAATGTAGGAACAGTAGGTCATAAAGACTTTAAGTAACTTTTACAGTTATTTCACGCTTTCCCTTTCCAAGTGATGTGTCCTTCCCTTGCTTTAGTGGTGACCAGTCCAAAAGGAAAAACTGCCAACGAAGGAAGCATGAAAGAACTTTAGAGCGGGTGCACACAAATATAGTAAAACTTACTCTTTTGTGAACTGATGTGGTGGAAGAGACAAGATTCACAAAAGAGACAGTATGCATTTTCTCCAAGTTAATGTTACATTGTTGTCCTCCTCAAAATTAGCTTATCATCACGAGTGTTTTGAGCTACTGTTGAAATGCACAACCAAAACTTTATCTGGAGAGTGGGGGGAGGGAAGGAAAGTATGCCAAGCAGTTAAACAACTGATGAACTGTATACTTTTTTCTCCTGTAGGTATGAAATCAATCCCACTGTATTCAAATTCGATCACAAAAAAGATCTTGTAACAGAAATAGTATTTTAATAGGGTTTTAAACCTTTGGCTATCACAATTCAGTAAGTATATGCAAGCAAAATAAAATATTAACACTGCAGTGTTAATTACTGAAATGCATAGGTTTGCAAATTCATTTAGGAATGCATCATCTGTCATGCTAGCAAATTTTCTATTCTTTCCTATCCCCACCTACATCTTAACTCTTTCTCTCCAAAGAAAGCAGAAATGTCATTGCAAAAATCTTCACATGTTTCATTTAGAATCCCGGAGCAACAACAGAATTGCATGGGGTAACTAGTGCCTTCTATGATATTTCTCCGTATGGCTTGTAATTGATGGCCTTGCTGGACTTGTCAAATGCAAGATGAAAGACAGAACTCTGACTGAGGCCTCTCTCGACTGAGGTGTCAAGAGTCGAAGAGCTAACAAAGGAAGTAATTAACTGGTGCTTATCTTACCAGACAAAAGTAAGGGGGGATAGCCCATCACCGTAAACCCAGTGATCTGGAAGTAGCCAGAAGTTGCTTCGGATAAAGCACAGCTGGCCCCCGGATGCGCATACCAAGATGCCCGCTCCGAAGGCGTGTCACACTGCTGAGTCCCGCTTCTGACACACGACATTCCATGCCAAGAGCCAATCACAGAATCACAGAATCACAGAATAGTAGGGGTTGGAAGGGACCTCTGTGGGTCATCTAGTCCAACCAGTCCCACTTCGCAAAAAGATTTCCAAGTATGTAAAACTTGGCACTTGAAAACTCTCTTTGGGAGGAGGAGCCAAGCGAGAACTTCACCTGACGGACAGATCGACAGGCCTGAACCTCTCGCCCCCCCCCAAGAAGGGACGCCTTTTTGGTAAGAGTCGCGCCTCTGACTTTGTCAGACGTATCCCCAGGAACACACGGTTAACTAAAGCGCTAAACTATTACTTTGAGCTCAACTTTTGTAGACAGTGCATTTATCAACAGCAATTCCGAATCTGTGATACCTGTTGCTTGAATAAATTACCTGTTGTTTCAACTTTGTGAAACTGTCTCAGTCAAAGTCCTTGGAAGGGCTCTGGCAGGCAAGTTGAATCTGAGAAGTGGCTACACACTTAACCCTTTAGACATAAACCATCGACCAAGTCTGCGACTAGGAGTGGATCCAGCCGCACCTAGACTCTCCTCTGAGAGGGAGTTTAGAAAGCAAGGGGGTCTTCTCTGAATCTTGTGACTCAACGGGAGGGATCTCCTTTTGCCACTTATCAGACTCCCCTTACCCCCCTTTAACACGACATGGCTATAGTTCCATTTGGTGATGCGTACCATAGTGTTCAAGCACCACTCACACAAAGTGAAAGTGACATGGAGAGGGAGCAGAGGTGGGATGTGATAACTGGTTAGCAAGACCAGAGAGTGCTTCCACAACTCAAGTGCAAAAGAGAGCAGTGTGATCAGGGAATTCCGGACCCCTCATGCCCACCAGCTGGTCCAAGCTGCCTGTATGAAGAAGCCATGCCCCACCTCCTGTCAGCCTGCCTAATAACCACCGTTCTGTAGGTCATTGTGCACCCTGACATTAAGTTCAGCCTGGTATTAGTGAATTACTGCATTTACTGTGATCGCGACCCAGATAATTATGCTCCTGATTTGTATTTGTTATTGCACCATTATTCTCAGACAAACTGTTTATCCCTAAAGCTACTGGTGTGGCATGTGTTACCACATCCTGAACCTGTAACTCAGCTGGGCCACCTCTGGTGTCAGAACTGGAATATGGTACACAGGATCATTACCTGCCCCAGCCTTGTAAGTGGGTGCCCTAACTGGTTGTTCTGCCCCGCCCACAGACAGCAGATTCTCTGACAGAGGTAAGTACCTGTTCCCTTTTCAGAGAATCATAGAATAGTTGAGGTTGGAAGGGTTCTTTAAAGCTCACCTAGTCCAACTCCGCCTCTGCAATAAGCAGGGACATCTTCCATTAGGATCAGGTTGCTCAGAACCCCATCGAACATGACCTCGAATGTTTTCAGGGATGGGGCATCTACCACCTCTCTGGGCAACCTGTTCCAGTGTTTCACCACCCTCACTGTAAAAGATTTCTTCTTGTCTGAACCTACCCTTTTTTAGTTTAAAACCATTACCCCTTGTCCTACTGCAATAGGCCCTGCTAAAAAGTCTGTCCCCATCTTTCTTATAAGCACCCTTTAAGTGCTGAAAGGCCATAGCTTTCTCTTCTCCAGGCTGAGCAGCCCCACCTCTCTCGGCCTTTCCTCACAGAATAGGCATTCCAGACCTCAGGTCAGTTTTGTGGCCCTCCTGTGGACCCGCTCCAACAGCTCCATGTCTTTCCTGTGCTGAGGGCTCCAGAGCCTGATGCAGGACTGCAGGTGGGGTCTCACCACAGCAGAGCAGAGGGGCAGAATCGCCTCACCTAGCTTTTCCCTAGCTATTTTAATTAGAGAAATTCAGAAACTGAAAAACATGAAGGGGAAATTACTCTGCCTATTCCTCTTCATTCACCGTTTCAGAAATGCCGAGCACCATGTGACTGCAGCCAAAGCCTAAGCTGTCTCCCTACAATAAGATTAGCTCAAGCCCAGCAGGACACTCAGCCTGCATCTGAAGACAAGACTGCCTGTGTTCAAAGCGTGCAGGCTTTCGTGGAGAAATCGGAGAGTCTCGTGGTCCCCCTAGTGGCACCACACGCCCCAGAAAAACATGACCAGCAGCTGGAAGCTACAGAAAAGGGAGTTTTTGCAACAAAAATACATAAAGCTTTATATACTGACCAAGAAGACTGGGAAGGAAATACTTGGTCTGATATGGATTCAAACAACAATACATCAAATTCTTGAAGCCCAACCAGACTTACGAATCCCATCAGTTACTGAAACTTCGTACGATGCTAATAGAGGCACTGCAAGTATCTCTACACGCCCTTTCACAAACATACACCTAGACAAATTAAGCAAGCACTATCACACATCTGTTACTGTAGATTACTTAAGATGGCTTGCAAATATGAGGAGGGATACCACATAAATTTCAGAATCAGCAGCTCAGACCCTCACTTTAGGGTCTGGAATCTGACTACAAATTCCAGCAGAAAATAAAGACTCTGTCTTTCGGGCATCAACAGCTTATGTTCAAAGAGAAGTGCCCCAAGATGACTGAGGACCCCGGCTATTCGCTGGCCAATCCCACAGATTTAGAATTGAGCATAGCTAAGTTGGTTATGAATGAACAGATAAAGACCTATCAACCTTCCACTGAGAAATGGTGGTGCCTAAGTAGTCAAAAAGGGTCCACTCATAGGACATTTAATGTTAATAGCTGCTGGCCTTACAGGTGCAGCACTCAGCTCCACACTGTCCTTGCTGTCACAAAAGGTAGTTTCTGCTGTGCCCATTCTGTTATCTTCCTCTCTCCCTGAAGAGGCTGCTATAGTTACCAACAAAACCTGTTGTGCCCCCCTAAGTTAAAAAGCCCCCTATGCCTCTGTGAAAGCACCCTATGCGTTGCGCTACACATTCTCCCAGCAGAGGTAAAGGCCCATTCCATCAGCTGTAACCTGGAAACCCCAGCCTTGCACTACCCGAACTTATCAGAGACCCAATCGGCACCACAAGCGGCTGGTCAGAAGCCACCAGTCCCTCTGAGGGGCTATGGAGGGTGTGACTTATATGGACTTCAATCTAGTGCTAGATGTCACCATCAATGATAAATTGTGTTTGTGTTGCCTCACTGATACAGGTGCTCAAACTTCTGTCATCAATAGATGGCACACTACAGGGGACCACTTCCTCCATCAGGGCATTCAGGACTTCCTGTGCCCCTCAGCTGGCCCAAGTCACTCACCGTAAGTTATGCCCTACGTCCTGTCAGTCTGCCTGATAAACATGATTAGGCAGGTCACTGTGTGCCCTGACACTAAGTTTGGCCTGGTATTACTGAATTTACTGTCATCTCAACAGAGATAACTGTACTACTAATTTGTATGTGTTACAGTACCATTACTCTGCAATAAACTGTTTATCCCTAAAGCTGTTGGTCTGGCGTTTCTTACTGTATCCCAAAACTAAGTCCCTATAAATTGTTCCTACTTCTGAAAGTCATTAAAGCCTTTCAGACTAAAGCAGACAAGCAATCAAGCACCTCAAAAACATTAAGCAATAACCATAATTTCACACCAATAGCCATGGGAAACTGTGGATACACACAGAAAAGAAACCGAGAAGTTTCATTACTGCTGCTTAATGCTGACAACACTGCTATATTGATCAGAGATTTGCCAAGAGAAACAATAAATATCAGCTGCTTATGCTCTGCTTTGTGAGATCAGGCAGCTGCCTTCCATAAAACTACTCAAGTATTCTGGTACACCCTTCAATGTAATTCCAAACGCTAAAATAGAAAGTATCAAGTAAATCTAACATCAGTCTGCTAAATAAAAGGACTCACAGGCCACTGTTCTTCTGTTGGAGTTCCCAGTGTTTCAAATATCCTTGTCAGCTGGTCAAGATCAGAGTCTCCGGGCAAAAAAGGAACCTGGAAGAAGGAACAATATTTGATTGAATTAACTTCTGAAATTCTAGAGAGAAGCTTTGAGCTATCCCTCATAATTGCAGGGCAAAACATCTTTGTATACCAGCTGCCCACAGAGAGGTACATTGAATATTTGATGCTTTCTAGTGATGTCCAAAAACATTCTGAAGGTTTCTTGCAGCGCTGGCTTGATATCACTGCCTTGACAGCAGAGTGCCAAACATTAAGTTTAAACCACCACCACATTAATGTAAAATAACTAAACACAGGAGAAGAAAGATTTTACACCTCAGTTGCCAGTTTAAAGTCTGTCAGTCACAGAGTTCTCTCCATTATCTGCTCCCTGAGGTTAGGCTATATATTTATTAAAAATATTTAAAGTGAATTATAATTGGATTATACAAGCAGCAGTTAGACTGATGGAATGAGATCCCAGCATGAGGGAGAGAAGTGACACACTAGGATAGAAACTGCCTAATCAGTGTCACATCTCATTTAAACTAGGCAGAAGACAGGAAGGGGGGTATTTGCCCAACTCAACTTGTAGCTTGCACATCAGGCACACAATGCAAGAAAAAAGACTTTGTGACCAAAGCAAAATTATGAAGCATTAGGGGCAGTATTTAACTAAGTAGGACAGAAATACCGTAATGAACACCCCTGCTTAGGCAGTGTACTAAATTTTGGTGTCATGAAAGACCCTTGAAAATAAACTGCTTTTGTAAAGCTCCTAGATGTTGCATTGTCCCTCAAGCCAGTACACTCAGGAAGAAAAAGGACAGATAAAATTTAAAACTTTCACAGTGATAAAACTGAACCATAACAGATCTTCTGCTTTGTGAAAAACCAAAGAATCAACAGAATTGCGCTATTTCTTACCTGCTTTTCCTTGAGTTTAATCCAACTCTAGCAGGTCTAATGCATATTTATGTATACATTGCTAATGCTGCTTAAACAGCCACTTTACATTTCCATTTCTGAACTGCCAAAGTGTACCAGCACGTCCATTTGTGGGATAAACCAAACCAAAAGATTTCTTCTAAGAGGTTTTCAGACAGATCAGTTCCCCAACTGGTTCATGACACAGCCACACAAACATGTAAAGTACAATGCAAAAACCAAGCAGAAACCTCTTTCTCAAGGAAGATAAATAATACTGCAGGCTACTTCAGGCTTTCAGCTGTGTCTGCACCCCTACCCTCTACTCCCCACCTCACACTTTCATGTCCTCTCCAAAGAGCTGGATAATAAGTGGTCTACTTCAGGAAGACATACTTAAGGACCATTACATCTCTGTACCGTACTCAGGAGTGGCATAGGATTAGCCTGATGTTCACCTTCAGCTTCATTCCAGTATTGTCAACTAGCCACAGCTTAGAAATGACCAGTCTTCTACTCATGACAAATAAACCCACAATTAAGGTACTGGTGATAACTATTCACAGTTATTAGGAAACAAGGTATAAGGGACAAGAGTACACATACATCTGTGATGTCACATTTCTAGAACGATAGCAGATGAAAACTGATACAAGGCCATGTGAAAGAATGACACTCAGAGGACTGGAAGAGTTATCTACTCCACCTTTCCCAGGGCAAGACTGTGAGAGTTTATCACCATTTTTTTACCCATCTGTTTTTAAAGACTTCCAGTGATTGTGATGCTTATGAAACCTCAGTCTATTCCAAAACATAACTTTCCTTACAGTTAGCAAGCTTTTGGAAGTCTTTTCCCCCCTCCTCTTCTTCCTTTCCTAAATAGCCTAACTGCCTTTGCCTGCTGCTGGAAGCCCATGTATGAAGTTGTAATGCATTGAAGAGCAAATAAAAAAGGCTTACATTTGAAGACTCACCCTGAGGAGCAACTCAGCTAAAATACAACCAACAGCCCACATATCGACACCAACACCATACATTCTGGCACCAAACAATAGTTCTGGGGCTCGGTACCACCTGAGAAGAAAACACATTTTGGGAAAATCACCTGGCTTTGCTCATGTCAAATGATGCGTATTGTAGGAATGCGAGAAATACAAAGCGGATATCGCTCACATATTTTTCAGATACTGACGAGCTGTACTCTACCCTGCAAAGTGTTTTGTTTAAGAAAGACTGAACAAGCATTCCTTACCACGAGGTCAAATATAACCACAGATTAAATACAGCTTCAACTGTGCTGATTAACGAGCAACAAAACTGCAGATGTGCAAAGGAGAAAAGTATTTAACAGGCAGTTTTGCATGTTATAAACCAAAATTTTCTTTAAACTTTATGTTGAAGAAGTGACACAAAGACAGAATTCCTTCCAGCTTCCAAAAATCTCCATGCCAGACCCAAGTATACAGACTAGTTTTATGCAAAATGAACCTTTACAGTTATTTAAAACAGCTACTTCCACTGCCTAAGAACAATCCAGTTTAATGCAATAACCTGATACAGGCTGCATTTGAAACTGCTGTATCATTTCTGCGTTTTGAATAAAGGTGTTGAAACAAACCAGCTTTGCCTGACTAGTTTTAGCATTACAGCAGACAAAAGGAAATACCTTCCATATTTTGCAGTCCTGATTCTTAAAGCATACCTTTGTGTTTTCTTTATGAGGCTCTTGCCATTACAGTCGTCTCACACGAGCTAAATGCCAGACTTTGAACATGTTGATTTGACATGACGCATTTCCAGAGACAATGCAAAACAGCTACACCATCACTATGTAAGAAGCAAAATAGAATGTTTTACCTTGTTACTACCTGGTGTGTATAAACTCTGTTCGGGCTTCCAAAAGATTTTGCCAAGCCAAAGTCAGCCAATTTTAAAACTCCATTTTCATCTAACAACAAATTATTTGGTTTAAGATCCTGGCAGTACAGAAAGCAAAGAATGAATTTTGTCAGTGTTGATAACAACAGACATATAATGAACCTCCCAGCAGGTATGCCCTAACAGTAATGTAAAATGCAGGCTTTTGATTCTATCCTAAGGCTACACTGTGAGGAAAACAGACATTAAAAACCCCCAGGAAATCAAGTATTACATTATGCATGAAAATCATTGTGAAACACACCCAATTGAATATTATCATATTTAAGCTGCAGAGTTTAAAAAGAAAAAATCCTTCCTCTAGATGTGTTCCAGCTTTGCTGCAGGAACAGCAGTTCTGCCTTAAGTGTGTAGTTGTCAAATGAATAATAAAAAAACATTGCAAGTGTTTCAAATAACTGTAGGAATTGGGAAAGCGATACAGTTTAATACAGTAACAGTGTGTTGTGGGTTAACCTCTGGCCAGCAGCGAAGCACCAACACAGCCACCTGCTCACTCCATCCTCACACAAACACCACCACCCCCCCGCTCCATATAGAGAACAGCACAAAGGCAAGAAAACTCTGGGAGCGATATACAGGCAGTTTAACAGGTGAAGGAGAGAGGAAAAAACAAACTAAAAAAAAGCAATGCAATGGAAATCAGTCACCACCTGCCACAAGGGGACTGATGCCCAGCCAGTCTCCAAGCAACAGCCACCCTGGAAGCCAAAAACCCCCTGCTTCCTCTACTCCGGTTTTTGTTGCTGGGCACGGCGTCACGTAGCACGCCGTATCCCTCCGGCCAGCTTGGGTCAGCTCTCCCAGCTTCCTGCCCAGCCCCAGCCTGCTCAGTGGGGCAGGGGCAGAGTGGGGAACAGAGAAAGCCCAGGCACTGCTCAGCGACAGCCAAAATATTGGTCTGTTGTCAGCACCGGTTTAGCCACAAACCCAGAACATGGCACCATACGGCAGACCAGTTCACAGCACTAATCAAAGTCACATGTAACTTGAGACACTTTTATATAAATATCCAAATGATAACCACAACAGTAATTCTTCACATTTCTGGTACTCCTGTTGTCTCTCCAAACAGCTAGCATGAATGCTTACGGACTAAGAACTTTGAAACTATATTCACTAGACTTTAGTCTCAAATTCCATCAAATGTGACTTTTGTTACAGCATAAAGGCTGTCAGTTTAGTACATGCTTACCCTGTGCAGAATCCAGTGCTGATGTAAATATTCTAATCCTTGAAGCGTCATCAGCATATATGCCTTGATGTGAGATTGTGTCAACACAATACTAGTATCCTTTATAATAACCTGTAAAGTGTTAGACTGATAGTAAAGCTTACTATGCAAGATTAACTTACTTCCATTCTTTCAACTCAAAAGTAGTATCATCCTCTAAGCCAGAGTTTAACTGTCAGTCACATATTCTCAACCATTCTCACCCTTTTTCCAGAAAAACAGGTCTATTCTGGAAATCAGAAATTCAAATGGGGAGTCCAGATAGCCTACATGAACTTTGCATAACCAGCAAACGAGAAAATGGGTGGGAAACACAAGTTTATTATTTTATCTCAGTACCAGGTTTATACCCAAACTTACATGACAAAAGATGTAAACAGAAAAATGACAGATGTGTCAGTAAACTTGAAATTATGTTCCCACTTATTCCTCTTTCTCCACGCAACCTCTGCATCTAGTCTTTGTAAATGCAACAGTTGTCTATTTCCAAGACGACCAGGAGGTACAGCCACTTTACTGTATTTTAACAAATCTACTTACACTTGTTATGTTCTTTTTAACATTAAAATGCTATGTAAACATACCGTTTGAAAGTATTTTCTACACTACTTGCTTGCTAGTATTACTGTATAAATAAGTAATAGCCCTTCCTAAGCTTTAAGTTGTTTGAGACTTACAAAACAGCTAAGACTACACAAAATTTCATGTATGCAGTACATGCCCAACCACAACAGGCTGCAGTCCCAAACGGTGGCCTGAGTGACACCACAATAGTTAGATGCTCCGCATACCACAACGCTAGGTAGTACTATGTCTGTAAGATGCAGATTTGCAAGTACCTAGCAGTTACATTTACAAGAATGGTCCAGGTGCGTGTGATTTGAGTACCAGCTCATCACTTGTTATAGTTCAGTATCACACTTACTTGAACATGTTTGATGATATTATGCTTAGCAATTGCACTCTGAGATGCTGATCTACGACTGAGGTTCTATGCTCTGACTGGAGCCCCTGAGAACTGACACGGTAAACATAATCTGTTTCTTGCAGATCGTGCTGACAAGTATTTAAGAGTAAAGGCATTATCAACTGAGAACTCTCAAAAATTGTCAAATTATTCAAACTGCTTTTAAGACACGATCTTAATCAACCAACATAATGAAAGTTACCTATCTAACACGGGCAAATGTAAGCCCGTGCTTTCACAAACCTTCAAAGATACTGAAGTATAAAAGTCTTTAAAGAAATCTTACCTCTAGATCTGTTTCCATGAAATCAAACACCAAACTAATATTGGACTTGTGTCCAAATGCATCTAGAAGCTGTAAAAAAAAAAAAAACATTATGATGAATCATACTCTCATACTTCCCCTTTCCTAAAATTCTGCACCGTTATAGTCTGCATGTGGATTTTCAGCTTGCTGAATTGGCTTAAGGTTTTTGACTTGCAATACCACATCCTTACTCAGTTTTTTCACCCTTTCTCAGGATGAAGCTGTGTAACAACAGAATCAGTTTTTAATCTGAGATAACACAAACATGATGCTGAGCAAGAACAACAGATCATCTGGCATGGTATTCTACCACCATGATCAGCAATGTATGCTCTCCACAGTGTGGCTCATTCCTTACAGCCTCAGTATGATGACCATGTGAATTACCCAGCTGCAGACAGTAATTTGCATCGTTCGTAACAGCAGTGACCGTGCTCAGGCTACTCTACAGAAACCATGGTAACAGGAGATACTAAGGAGATGCTATGCAGGTGAGACCACAGGCTTGGCAACTTTTTGCAGTTCATGCCCCTTACACTTCCAACATCTACAACAATTTTACCAGGACGGCTAATAGGGGTACAACCTGCTGATCATGAATTTGTCTAATTCCTTTTTGAACTGCTGATGCTACCTGCTTCTGCAATGCTCCTGGCAACAAACATGAGAAATTCTCCACACACTGTATACACTGTGTAAAGTAGTACAATTACCACACAACATTACCCCCCCACCCCAACGCAAATATGTTTTAAACACATCTCTTCTTTCTGGTACTGTGGGGTTTTGCAAGTATCTGTTCTGCATGCACTTTACCTACCACTTCAGTTTTACAGACCTCCCCATTCCCAACCTTTTCTTCTCCAGAATGAGGAACCCCAAACTTTCATAAAGATGATGCTCCATCCCTTTGCCACTTTAGTTGTCTTTCCCTGAACATTTTCTAACTTTGATAGCTAAAGCAACCACTTTGAAAGTAAGTTCACAATCCAGAAGAGAATTGTATTTCCACTCTGAAAAAGTTCAATTAAATATCTAGAAAATTCTTTTTTGGTCTAATATTTATGGCAGACCATCTAATTATCACTATTAGCTAATTTTAAAATATGTTTAGCTGCTGCTGGGTATCTGTGGCTGGAAATCAACCTACATGTAACTGAAAAGACCAAGTTTTACTCCTGCCACCAGAGGTTTCAGATATCGGTACTAAAACCCAGCAAGCCACATGAATGTCACTTTACCATTGCTTACAACAGCCTGCTTTTTGCTGTCACCAGTTCCATGTGAAGCAAACAATCAGGTAAATTCAGCACTGCACTCATTTGCAAGTCTATCAGAGAGATGCAAAATCAGGTAATCTAGATTTCCACAATTCTCCCCACCATTAATACCCACATAGCCCCGGGCTAAAAAGTAAAAGGATGTCAAAAGAAACTACTTTGACTTTGTTACCGAAATATGTGTTTTGCTGTAACAATTGCTTTACTGACCATTTGGGACTGACCATTTGGGGCTGGAGAAAACAGCTCAAATAAAAATAAGCAGCATCTCCATGACCCAGATAATTCAAGATTTCAGTTTGAACCTGTATCAAAAGTATTTGAAGACTAATTCTAGAAGTAGCATTCATTTTACTTACACCAATAATATTTGGATGGCTTAGTTCCTGCAACAATTTTATCTCCCTGAGGGCAGTTCTGTTGATTCCTAAATTAGAGAAGAAAAAAAAAAAAAAAAGAGACAGAACAAAATTAAGGAATTTGCATTAAGCTCCAAAGAAACCTCTCATTCTGTTACTTACTGACGATTTACTACTACAAACTACTTTCTCACCACTCAACAATTTGTTAAATAACAAACACACTGCCACAGATAAGCAGATTGCTGCAGAACAGAAGTGGACATACACTTTCTTTCACAGCAAATAAATCCTACACCACAGTAATCAAGATTTACATCACGAAGCAACAATTCCCTCCTTTTGGGAATAAAGGAAAGTTCTAACAAAAACCTAGGGAAAAAAAAAAAATCACCTTTTTCACAGTATTGTAAGCTTTGGTTTTATTTTCAAGAAAAGCTACATCTTGCAAGCACCAGTTCTTCAATGTGTCTCACTTCCAGAAAGAGGCACACTGACCAACCTCATGAATGTATCTATTTTCCTTTTGACATAGCATTACTTAATAAGGCAAGGCACACACGTTTTTCTATATTTCTGCTGTTGTATAAAAGGCAGAGTAGCCAAAACCTGCTCACCCTTGCTTGAATTCTTTAACAGCGAAATTTTAAGAGGAAAGTGTGGATGGTGCACGTTGGCAGTCACGCTGACTGCACTGCATCAAACCGTGATTACTGCAGGGTAACAATTCCTTCAAAAATGCTGGTATGTATGGCTTGTACAAAAATTGACTGTAAAGCTAATGCTTCTGTTGTACATTGCACAGGAAGTTTCAGCTGCGCGTGAACTGAAAAACAGTGTTCTCCCCAAACTCGGGATACAATTCAACACATAAGTCTCTAGCAAAGCTTTGGGCAAAGCTACACGGATTCCTTTAGACTTCTGCTTTGCCTATTTTAATTACCTATTTTAGAGTTAAATCAACAATGCCTGCTTGCAGGTAGGCAAAGCCTTAGATCCAAAAAAAAGTACACCAGGATATCAGATAGCACAAGGAAACCAAACACGATCATTACTTTTAATAACACCTTTGAACTATAGCTAGACACTGTATAGCCCAAAAGTAACCACTATGCTTAAATGACATTAGTCCACTGAAGGCCAGATGGATGATGGCTCTGGCAGTCAGCTCAACTGTGAGACTCAGAGACAAGCGCCCAGTTTCTCTTCAGAAATTACAGAATCACAGAATGGTAGGGGTTGGAAGGGACCTCTGTGGGTCATCTAGTCCAAACCTCCTGCCGAAGCAGGGTCACCTACAGCAGGCTGCACAGGACCGTGTCCAGGTGGGTCTTGAATATCTCCAGAGAAGGAGACTCCACAACCTCCCTGGGCAGCCTGTTCCAGTGCTCCGTCACCCTCAGAGGGAAGAAGTTCTTCCTCATGTTCAGACGGAACTTCCTGTGCCTCAGTTTGTGCCCATTGCCCCTTGTCCTGTCACTGGGCACCACTGAAAAGAGCTTGGCCCCATCCTCCTGACACCCACCCTTCAGATATTTGTAAGCATTTATAAGGTGCCCTCACAGCCTTCTCTTTTTCAGGCTGAACAAGCCGAGCTCCCTCCGCCTCTCCTTGTAGGAGAGATGCTCCAGTCCCCTCACCATCCTCGTAGCCCCGCGCTGGACTCTCTCCAGTAGCTCCTCATCTTTCTTGAACTGGGGAGCCCAGAACTGGACAGAGTGCTCCAGATGGGGCCTCACTAGGGCAGAGTAGAGGGGGAGGAAAACCTCCCTCGACCTGCTGGCCACACTCTTCTTAATGCACCCCAGAACAAAATTTTTCCCTTAGAACAAAACTGGAGAGTTCAGAGCAATGATTCTTCACCAGAGAGTTGGTAACCTGATGCAGGACCCCTGAAGGATGGCAGCCTATGCACATACAAAACTCTACTGCACCACACAGGCTGTAAGAGAACAACAGGATTATTGGTTTTTTACTTGCAATACTCGTGTCTAAAGGCATGTGGCTGGTCAGGGTACACAATCAACAGACACTGCTCTATACACCTGATTTCTCAGCATAAAACCAACCCACACAGTGACAAGAATTATAAGATCTTGTTTTTATTAACTTCTATCTCAGCAGAAATCACAAAAATAGAACAAAGGAAGTATGTGAAAACAGAGATAAATACTCTCACCAGTCTTTAAGGAACAGACATGCAAAAAGGAATTCCAAACTCAGTGCTGTAAAGATTCTTATTGTATGCTATATTAAAGTTTGTGTTCCATCTAAACTGAGAATCTAGCTGGTTACATACTCATATTTAGACATCTACTACACACGTAGCGATCTCTGCTGCTTCTTTCTGTCCCTGAAGCTTGGAAAGGGATGAAGCCTTACACCGAAAGAACTGAGCTAATTTTTCTCAGCCAAGTTATGGTGTGGGAAATTAATGTACCAATTTACAAAAACAAACAAAGCACAGATTCAGCAGCATGAATTTATTTCAAAACTCACCATCTTTAGCTTCTGATCTATGTCCCAGCTTAATCTGCAAACAAATGTTTCATATTATATAAGGTTAAACCATCTCCCCCAACAGCTGGGGATACATTTTTACTCTTCTCAGACAGAATATGTTGCAGTAACATGAAGCGCTTTACCAGCTACAGTTGAGGTTGTTTGGAGTTTTTTTTCCCCTTAAAAAATAACTTGTCTCTACAACATTAGCTTTTATAAAAGCTCAAAAATAGTCATGTCAGCACTGAAAACAGACCTAATCCCAACTGGCAGCGTACGATGCCTTGCAGCCACAAAATTATATATACACCACTAACAAGCTTCTCCCCAAGCAGAAATGAGTGCAAAGCAATTGACAGCCATCTTAGAATCATTCTAGGAAAACGAGCATACTCCGTAAACTTGGGCTAGCTTAAAGTCCTTCTATCTCAATCACCTATTGTCCTGAAATTCTCAAGTCCAGAACCCTGCCACCGGTATTTCCAGCTGATAAAAGTGAAGATAAGATTCTGATATAAACAAGAATGTTGTTCACAACAGCTGCTACTAGTAGCAACCATGCAGGATGGATTAGTGTATCAAACAAAATTACTTACTATTCATAGGCTTCAAGTCATTTAGTAAAGCAGGCCCTTTAAATAACCAAAGCACTGCAATGTGCATTTTTCACACCCCCAAAGCACAGCTAACCACCTATTTTTAATACAAAAACATCCTCCAATCCCTTCAGATAGCACGAAGTGAAACACTTCATGACAACATCAGACATTTTCAGCATATATATTGAAACAAGTAAGCTGCAGATCTAAGATCACTTTTGTCAAATTTTGTCAAAAAAACTACCATCAGTTCTAAAAAACTTAATCAGGGATAACATTCCTGGACTGAAGGAAAACAGGCACGGAAGGAGGAAAGATTAAAAACAAAAAAAAGGACTAACAAAGTTCGAAGTTTGGAAATGTGTGGTGTTTTTTTTCTTTAAATAAATTTGTCAAATAACCAAAATATCAAGTTACAGACCAGGTAACCCTTCAGAAGCTCAGAAACACAGTAGGACTGAAGCCAGTCTCTTGGGAGGGGGGAAAAAAAAAGATGCATTAAAAACAGGTTAACTTAGACATTCAAACAAAACACTCTGGAAACAAAAACATATATTCTCCCACTACCCATTAAGTCAGCCAAAAAAAAAAACATCAGGGAGGTCGAGAGCAACCAGATCACACAAGAGGAAAATACCCTGACACTCACCTTCTTAATAGCCACGATTCGGTTTGCGTTCTTGTCCCTTGCTTTATAGACGGTAGCAAACTAAGGAGAGAGAGAGAGAGAGAGAGGGAGAGAGAGAGGGGGGGAGAGGGGGGGAGGGCG